ATTTCACAAAAGAAGACATACAAATAGCCACAAGTATATGAAAAATAATCAGCATCGCTAATCATCCAAGAAATGCAAATCAAAACCACAATGAGCTATTGTCTCACCCCAGTTAGAATGGCTTTTATCTAAGGGAATAACGGATGCTGTTGAGGATATGGAGAAAGGGGAACCCTTGTACACTGTTGGTGGGAATGTAAATTAGTACCATCACTATGGAAAACAGTATGGAGGTTCCTCAGAAAACCAGTTTTCTACGATCCAGTAATTCCACTAGTACTGGGTATATATCCAAAAGAAAAGAAATCAATATTTAAGTGATATCTGCACTTCCATATTGAATGCAGCACTAGTCACAACAGCCAAAATATGGAATCAACCTAAATGCTCACCAGTGGATGAATGGATAAGAAAGTGTTGTGCATATACACAGTGGAGCGCTGTTCAGCCAGAAACAAGAATGAGATCCTGTCGTTTGCAGCAACACAGATGGAACTGGAGGTCATTATGTTAAGTGAAACAAGCCAGGCACAGAAAGACAAATGTCACATATGTTCTCACTCCTATGTGGGAGCTAAAACAGTGGATCTCATGAAGACAGAGAGTAGACTGGTGGTTACCAGAGGGTGGGAAGGGTAGGGAAGAGAGGTGGATGCGTGAGTACAAATCCCAGAGGGAGGGAACGGTAGGGAAGAGAGGTGGATGAGTCGGTACAATCTGCAGTGTGGTATATGCAGGAAGACCTGGTGTTTGGTAGATCAGCAGAGTGGCTACCGTTAACATTCATCTGTTCTACATTTCCAAACAGCTAGAAGAGAACAATTCGAATGTCCCCAGTAAAAAGAAAATATAAATATTTCAGGTGATGGACATCCCAATTACCTTGATTTGACTATATGAATGCATGAAATTATCACATGTATCCCCAAAATATGTACATCTATTATGTATCAATTTAAAAGATTAAAAATTTTAAACATTAACAACAACAACAAAAAAAGAGCCAGGGACAGACTGGCCAATCTTGAATGCCGGGATGAGGGCCTCAGGAGCTGAGGGTTGGAGTGAGCAAGGGTCAGGCTCCTCCCTGGCCAGGTCGCCAGAGGGCCAGGGGACCAGCCCCTGTGGCCGATGGAAGAGGAAAGGACAAGGCTCCTGACCCCACGAGCATCTTTTCTCACACAGGGCACAGCCCTCAAAGGTGTCCAGGGGCTGAACAAGCCCAGGAAGGCTGCAGCCTCTTATCCATTTAATTTACAGTGTTTGGAATTCATTACAGAATAATTCTCTCATCGATTTGCTGCTGACATATTTACTGTTTTTCTTTTCAGATTAAGAAAGATATGGGGATGCAAAAGTAACTTTATGTCAGACCTGGGAGATTTGAAAGTTGCTGGCACTTTAAGTAGTTTTAGTTTAAATTCTGTAAGATGGACATGACCACCCACAACAAAATTTCAGTACGGTGGGGTCAGTGGAAGTCACATGCTCTGTCTTCACATTTCAGCCCCCCCTCTGTGTCCCGACCCCAGGGCGGGGGTCACCTGTACTCCGTCAACACCTCCAGGGCAGGCTTGCCCGATGCTCCCTCTTGCTCCAGAAGTGAAGGCCTCATCCCAAGTGTGACGTCCATTTATTGGTCATGGCTACCCAGCGTTCAGGCCAAAAAGTTCGTAACTGCTCCAAATTCCCTGTGAGGAGCAGTGCCCCAGCTTTCAGGCCCTGTGGTTTAGGGGTGCTGGCTGCACCCCAGAGCCAAGGTGGACGATGAGATTCAGGTCAGGGTGATGAGTGAATCCCCTCTACAGGGTCTGGCTCAGGAAGGGCACAGGCCCAGCCTGAGTCCCCCTCCTCCTTCAGGCGCAGGCCTCTGTCTGAGCAGGTGGGACAGGGACTCCCCCGTAGGCCTGAACCCCTGCCACAGCCATTCTGCCACCGAGGGGGCAGAGTCGACCTCAGTCTGAAGCCAACACGGAGGATGCGAAGGAGAAGCTGGGCCCTGGTGCAGCAATTACCAAACAATTCCTGCCATGCCTAGACTTCTGAGCTCTGGACTTTACAGTCACCTGCGTCAGTCAGTCCCCCTTCTGCTTAGGCCAGTGCATGCTGGGATTTCTGTCACCTGCAATTGGCTGTGCCCTAACAGATGTGGGTCAGGACACCCCGATGGCAGTGAGTTGTGTGGGTGGAATCCCTTTCAGAGACCCCCGCCCCTTCTCCAGGTGGGCAGCCCAGAGCACGCCAGGACGTTACTCTCGTTGTTGAAAGGGTTAAGAATGCATATATGTGCGCGTGTGCTCGTGTGTGTGTGTGTGTGTGTGCATGGGTGCTCGTGTGTGTGTGTGTGCATGGGTGCTCGTGTGTGTGTGTGTGCATGGGTGCTTGTGTGTGTGTGTGCGTGCATGGGTGCTCGTGTGTGTGCGTGCATGGGTGCTCGTGTGTGTGTGTGCGCGCGCGTGCATGGGTGCTCGTGTGTGTGTGTGTGTGCATGGGTGCTCGCATGTGTACCCCAGCACAGTGCCTGGCTCTCACCTCCTGCCCCACCCTGGGCCTTCGGCTGTGTGAGCCATGGCAGAGAGGACATCATCTCCTGCCAATGCCCCCTGCTTGCTGGGAACCTGCTGGGGCTGGGCTGAGCACTGAGGGCGTCTCTGGCAGAGGCTCCAGCACATCCTGTCCCTTGCCCCCTTGTGGGGGTTAGCTCCACAGCGTCCTGAATGGGGGCGGGGGTTGCAAGGCAACAGACAGCAAGAGGAAGTGAAGGCCACTAACTTCCTTCTGCTACGGGGTCCACCACTGTGTTCAGGGCTGTGCTGTGTTCAGGGCACTTTTCTTCGTCTTTTAAAAATTCTGGGGTCCTCTGGAAAATCGGAACGGCCTTATCTGCGTGTTCTGTGTTTGTAATATGAGGATAATGACACGTCTCCCAGGATCTTGAGCGAGTGAGACGAGGTCCCAGGCATCGCCACCATAGGGTGTCTGCGCGTGGTGAGTGCCAGTAACACCGGTGCCCTCCTGATCCTCCCACTGGAACACTGTGGCACAGCCACAATAAAGACGCTCGCTGTTCCTAAAAGCCTGGCTTCCTCATTCCCAAGTCATGCAGTGGTGACCAGAGCTAGGATTACTAACAGGATCATTGCTTTAGTGAATAAAACCAATTTATAATGAAAATTTAATACAACAAGAAAATCAATGTTTATGATGCCTGGGGATGGCAGTTCTCCTCTTAAATCAGGCAGGCATCTGCCTGGTACCTTTGTTTGTCTCTAATGCGAGGGTCAGATTCAATTCAGGTTATGCCTAAATTGTCAGGAACTCAAAATGAAAGGGACATATTTAAATGAGGATTATGATACTTTAAAATTGCTCCTGGTGTCTCCCTCAACTGGTCAGGACCCCAATTCCTACCATTTCAGAATCAGTTCCTATGACTCTCACCAAAAGTCTACACTGCAGGACAGGGCGGCAGGGCTGGGCGTCTGCTTTCCCCACACCTGCTCCTGAAGCAGGAAGGCAGGCCCACGTGTGTCCCAAGGAACCTGAAAGTCAGGGGTCCGGGGAGATGAGCAAGCGTGGGAAACAGAGGTCTCCTCTGGAGTAGATGGGTCTGGAGGTTGGAACAGCAGGGAAGAAGCCCTCACCCATCACCTCCCAGAGGCCGGGTCAGCCACGGCCGAGCCCACACTACCTCCCAGAGACCAGGTCAGCCACGGTCAAGCCCACATCACCTCCCAGAGGCTGGGTCAGCCACGGCCGAGCCCACACCACCTCCCAGAGACCAAGTCAGATACAGCCGAGCCCACACCAGCCTCCCCTCACACCCCTCTCCCCAGCTCACTCTGCTGCAGCCTCAGAGGCCTCCTTCTAGGGGCTTGAACCTCAGGGTCTTTGTGTCCTCTGCCTAGGAAGCCCTCCTTCCCTGTTTCATTCCTTGGGTCTCAGGGTGACTGTCTCGCCCCCAGACCCCCTGGGAACACAGTGCAGGCCCTTGGGTTGGGCCTCCGCTCATCACTCCCACCTCCCTCTGTGATGATGGGCCTCTCTGTGGATTGCCTGGTTTAAGGACCATCTTTGCAGCTAGAATGTCAACTCCAGAGGGCAGGACCCTGTCTGTCCCACTGTCTTCTGCAGTTCCCCCTAAACCCACCTGCCGGGATTTCCAGCACCTGCCACAGGAAGTCCCAACTCATGCCTACTGCCCTCCTGCCAGCAGGAGCATAGTCTCAAAGACACTGGAAGCTTCTGGAGCAACAGGGCAGAGTGGACCTCCCGCCGGCCCTGGGAAACCTGGACCAATAGCATCCATGGCCCTGCTGCCTGGGCTGGATGGAAGACGGTGGAAGAGGAGAGAGCAAATCAGACCACTGGCAAAGACGACCCCGCGGCTGTCCGGACAACTGGAACGGAAGCCAACGGGCTCCAGACTTCTGTGGGAATAATAAATGCTGGCTGCATATTCCAGAAACTCTAGAGTGTGTCCAAGTGATTAACAAGGGACAGTGGACCCTTTGTTGTTTCTTGGCCTCTGTATTTAAGACCCAGAAGGAAGCATTTCCGTAACGCTGATGCTGCTCGCATTGTGGGCTGTTACAATCTATCATCCCTTCGAATTCTCCAGAGACTTTGCTGAGGGTATTTATCCCCCTGCTCACCAGCCTGGGTCCGTCTGGTCTCATTCGGCGTGCACGTGTCTTCCACCTCGCCAGGACAATCACCCTGGCTGTGGCATCACGGGAGGAGTGGCGGCTCACCACGGCCTCTGTTCCTGCATCAGCGCAGTTAAGTGGGAGACAGCAGCTGAGAGTGGCACAAATCTGGCATTTCCGGAAAACGCAAAACAAGCAGGCCTGGCCGCTCTTCCCTTGTCCTCACCCTTGCCTGGCTGGATGGTGCAGGCTCATCCTGCTGTAAGTCGGAAGAGGCCCTGGCAGCGAGGAGTGCGTGAGCCAAACACCAGGGCCTTTCCTCACTCGTCAGAACAGCCACAAGCTACTTACCCAGACGTGGAAGAAACGGCTTGAAGGGCCACTCAGGATCCTCATTTCACCTCAGGTGAAAACGGAAGCTGTGTTCTCTGGATGCTGGAGCAGGAATACAATGTGATGTTGTATTTCAGCTGGTGATTGAAGCTAGATGGAATTCTCGGCCTTTGTTTTGTTTTACATCTCAGCAGAAGCTATTTCAAAAGCCTTGTCCTGAACTATGGCTGAAGTCTAGGGAAGCAGAACGTAGGAAAGGGTGTTGCTCCCACCCGGACAAGAAGAAAAAGCAGCTGCAGGACTGCCCTCCTTGAGTCTGAGGGAACTGAGACTGACCCGGAACCTAGAGGGGGAAAGAGACCGGCGCCTGCAGGGAGAAGAGGCCCCAAGCACCTGCCTGGGAGGTTGAAGTGAAAACGGAAACGTGCTAGCCATGGACTGCGGGCTGGTGGGAGACTCAGAGGCACACACAGCAGCAGACCTGGGGCTCCACACCCGCAGGTTCCAGGCCTTTTCTCTGGGAAACCCAGCCGGGGCCCACAGGGAGAACTGGGGCCCATCCTGAAGCAGCGCTGCAGTGGGGAGGGCTGGGTTGCTGTGGAGACACCACCCAGGGCGGATGGGACCACGGTGCCAGTGCTGGGGACCCTGGGGGATCCCACTGCAGATAGGGAGGGGAACAAGGAAACAAAAACAGCTCTGCCCTGAGAGAGGGGAAGGGTCACTTGGGATGCCAGACCCCAGATCCCATTTTACAGCTCCCCACCCCCGTAAGGCCTGACCAGAGCATCAGAGAATGTGTCCCCACATCCCACCACCGTGGTAAGAAGCCACGAATAAGATGATCAGTGGACAGCAGTTGCTCTGAAGCGCAGCATGGAAGGGGGACCCAAGGCAAAGAGAGAGAAAATGCAAAGTGTCCCTGGTCTCTAGAGGATGGGAAGTCCCCAGTGGAGCAAGGTAACCATAGCAACAAACTTCAAACCCAGCCGGGTTCCTGACTAGGTCAGCACAGGCCCTCACCCTAGGCGCCCAGAAGGAAAAAATTCCACAAATAGTGAAACAAAATCAGCAAGTCTAAAATGGCTGTGATTGGATTTGTAGATGGAGAAGAGAGAATGGGACAAAAAGAATATTTGAAATAATGATCACTGTGAATTTACCAAAATTAGTGACAACAAATCACAAACCTAAGAAACTAAAGAACACCAAGAAGGAAGAACAATGACAGCACCAAAAACAACACCGAGACACACCACATTCAAACTGCTGAAAACCAGACAGAAAGAAAATCCTGAACACAACCAGAAAGGGGGTGAACGGGAAGCATTCTCCATGGAGAAACAGGGATAAAAGTTATGGAATACTTCTCAAAGAAATTATGCAAGCTTTTTTTCATATGTTTGTTGGCCACGTGTACGTCTTCTTGTGAAGTGTCTGTTCACGTCCTTGGCCCACTTTTTAATGGGGTTATTTGGTTTATTCTGGTAAATGTGTTTAAGTTCCTTGCAGACTCTGAATATTAGACCTTTGTCAGATGGATAGATTGCAAACATTTTCTCCCATTCTGTCAGTTGCCTGTTCACTCTGATGTTAGTTTCTTTTGCTGTGCAGAAGCCCTTTCATTTAATTAGATCCCATTTGTCAGTTTTTGCTTTTGCTGCAATTGCTTTTGGCATTTTGGTCATAAAGTCTTTGCCCATGCCTATGTCCTAAATGGTACTGCCTAGATTTTCTTCTAGGGATTTTATAGTTTCGGGTTTTACATTTAAGTCTTTAAAACTCAACATCACTGATCATTAGAGAAACGCAAATCAAAGCCACAATGAGATACCACCTCACACCAGTCAGAATGACTATTGTTAAAAAGTCAATAAACAACAGATGCTGGCGAGGTTGCAGAGAAGAAGAAACACTTTCACGCAGTCGGTGGGAGTGAAAATTAGTTCAGCCATTGTAGAAGACAGTGTGGCGATCCCTCAAAGACCTCGAGGCACAAATGCCATTTGACCCAGCAATCCCATTACTGGGTATGCACCTAAAGGAATATAAATCATTCTATTTTAAAGGTACGTGCATGTGTATGTTCACCACGGCACTATTCACAATAGCAAAGACATGAAATCAATCTAAATGCCCATCAGTGATAGACTAGATAAAGAAAACGTGGTACATATACACCACGGAACACTATGCAGTCATAAAAAGGAATGAGATCATGTCCTTTGCAGGGACATGGATGGAGTTGGAAGCCATTATCCTCAGCAAACTAATGTAGGAACAGAAAACCAACTGCTGCATGTTCTCACTTGTAAGTGGGAGCTGAATGATGAGAACACATGGACACCTGAGGGGAACAACACACACTGGGCCTGTTGGAGAAGGGGTGAAGCGGGAGGGAGAGCACCCAGAAGAATAGCTAATGCATGCTGGGCTTAATATCCAGATGATGGGACCATCTGTGCAGTAAACCACCACGGCACACGTTTACCAATGTAACAAAACTGCACATCCTGCACATGTTTGGGGAAACTGAAAAGTTGAAGGAAAAAAAGAAGTTATGCAAGCAAAAAGACAAGTAACATCTTTAAAGTGCTAAAAGACTAAAAAGCTCTCAGAATGCTATATCTATTGAAAGTATCCTTCAAAAATGAAGGAGAAAGACAGACTCTCCCAGGTAAACAAAACTGAGGGCATGCACTCAGCAGACCTGCCCTATGAGAAATGGTGAAAGAAGTTCTCCAAGCAAAGGGAGTATGACATAGGTCAGAAACATGGAGCGAAAAAGGTATAAATATCATGAGAATGGAATAAACGAAGATAACATATCTATTTTTTCTATTTTTAATTGCTCTGAAAGATCAATGACTAAGCAATACTAGTGCTATGGTTGGAATGTTGGTGTCCCCTGTACAACTCATTTTTTGAAATCCTAACCCCTGAAGTGGTGTCATTAGGAGGTGGGGTCTTCGGCAGGTGATGAGGTCATGAGGGTGGAGGAGCCTTCATGAGTGGGATTAGTGCCCTCATAAAAGGTACCCCAGAGAGCTGCCTTCCCCTTCCACCATTGAGGATGCAGTGAGAAGCTGCTGTTGGTAAGCCAGGAGGTGGGCTCTTACCAGATGCCAAACCTGCCCATGCCTTGATCTGAGACTTCCCGGCCTCCAAAACTGCAAGAAATAAGTGTTTGTGTTTAGAAGCCACCAAGCTGATGGTATTTTGTTAGAGCAGCCCAAACAGACTAAGACAAATAGTACCAATGAATTGTGTGTACAACATGGAAAATGGAAATGCATGGGAACGACAGTGGCACGGGGATGGCAGAGCGGGGTGGGGATATTCTACCATAAGGTCTGCACGATGGCAGAGGGGTTGGGGACATCCCGCTACCAGGTCCGCACGGTGGCAGAGGGCTTGGGGACATCCCGCTACCAGGTCCGCACGATGGCAGAGGGGATGGGGACATCCCGCTACCAGGTCTGCATGATGGCAGAGGGGTTGGGGACATCCCGCTACCAGGTCTGCATGCTTCCAGTGAAGCAATAGTATATTACTTGGAGGTGGACTCAGATTATTTAAAAAATATTACAAACCACAATTCACAACCAAATGTTTTAAAACAGGTTCTACATAATATCAGCTGAGAAGATGAAACGGAATAACAACAAATGTACCATTAAACTCAGGAAAGGCAGAAAGAAAGGGAAAAAACAGAACAAATGGAAAAATACAAGACAACTGACAAGATGGTAGTTATTACTCTCGTTCCATCAATAATCCTTTTAAATGCGGGTGGTCAAAGCCACCAGTTAACATGCAGAGAATGCCAGACTGGACAGAAAGAGGCAAGCATCAAATACAGGCTGTTTACAAGAAACCCATTTTAAACATGAAAACATACATCCGCCAGGAGTAAACCAAGGAGAAGGAATACTATGCTAACACCACCTGAAAGAAAGCTGGAGTGAAACATTGATTTCAGGCCAAGTGGACTTCGAAACAAGGAGATTCTACGCTGACAAACAGGTACACGTGCCAGGAAGTCAGGACGATCCTAAATATCCACTGCCTAACAACAGAACTTCAAATTACATGAGGCAAAAACTGCCAGGACTGAAAGGGAAAACTGACAAATTCACAATTAGAGGAGGACTCCTCTATTCTGCACTCTCGGAAATTGATAAAACAAGTAGACAGAAAATCAGTAAGGCTATTGATGACCTGAGCAGCATTATCAACCAACCACCCTGACTTCACGGACACTCCAGGACACTGCAGTCAGTAACTGCAGAATGAGCATCGTTCTCCAGTGCACAGAGGCACTCGCAAAATCAGGCCATCCAATGAAAACATGTAACTCATGAAAGTACGTTCTTGAGGCATAACAGAATTCAAGTGGAAATCAATAACAGCAAGACATCTGGAAAATCCCCAAATATTTGGAAATTGAACAACACATGTCTAAATAATCTAAAATCAAAGAGGAAGTCTCAAAAAAATTAAGCATATAAATATACATAATAAGTGAATATATAAATAAAAACATAAAACATGAAAATACGTGAGTTGCGTTTAAAGCAGTACTGGACTTTTAGACCATCACAAGCACAGAGTAAAAAGAAGAAACTGTACCATTATTCACCAAGGCTGCAAACTTAACTACCTTCTCAGCTTCACTGTACCTCGAAGGAAGATGCCGCAGTCATTTATTCTCCCGAAGCAGAACCTCAGAATCACTTCGTCTTCTAAGGTAGACCCTCGAGAGAGCACACAGTCCTCTTTTCAATGGTAACCTGCCGTCCTCAACAAAGCAAACCCCATCCGATGTGCCCACAGGTAGAGTCTGGGTTTGGACAATTAGTACATTTTCTTCTCTGAATGGCTTACTATAGAATTGATTTTTTTTGGTAAATAAACAAGGATGTGATTCCTAAGCAGCCAGCACCCCTCCCGCTAGAGCATGGGGTGGGACTGATCTGTCCCAGCTGCACTCTGGCTGTGGAAGGACACCCTTAGATTTTCTGGCTTTGCTGGCCTTCCCCAGCAAATGGTTGTCACTGCATAGAACATTCCGGGGCCACTTGTGGTGCCTCAGACACACAAACCCAAGAAAGGCTAGTAATTAAAACTCCCCAACAATAGGGCTGAAACACACTCGTCATCTTTAAGGAGGAATAACCTGTCTCGGAAGGAGAGTTGTCAGTTCCTTCTGTCAAGAAATAAAGCATCTGTTTCCACCTGAAGAAAGAACATGCCTTCAGTCCAGAAACTTCGCTCTAGCAGAGACTGCACAGTGGTGGCCACGGACACCTTGTAGTGTCCGAAGTATTTTTAGGGTCTGAACAGTCTGTTGTAAAATCTCTTTGAAATTGCACCAACTTTTAAGAATCAGATTTCAGGTCAAAACCTGGATTTCTGGCTTTGCTTGAAAATTCAGAAACCCAA